ATTCTCGTAGATGACCGTTGTGCTGTTTTTGGGACATATTGATGAATATGAGATGTTAGAGGCTGCTGTTAGAATTATGACAGTAGGATTTAGTGACAATAATGATGTACAGTAGCAGAATAACAGTATGGATTACTGTACTATTAATATACAGTTGAGTATTAGTGAGATGTTATTGATGAAGTTGTGTTCGATGATTTTGTGATAATAAATGATGTTTAATAAATTATTTTGATGTTATGAGATGTTGTTAATTGAGATGTTTTGAGATGATTGAGATGTTACGATTTTGAGGTGTTAATTGAGATGTTTTGAGATGTGTTTTGAGATGATTTGGGTGTTAATATTACATTCATGATGAGTCGCATACATTGCATTTTTGAGATGGAGCTTATGCTCGTTGAGATGGCCTGGATTGGCAAATTTTGAGATGAAGGCTATGCCTTGTTGATGCCTCTATTAATTGGCAGATTTTTGAGATGGGAGTTCTGCTCCAATGGTACCACATGCATTTGCATAGTTTTGAGTCGCATTATATGATTGAGTAATGAAGTGTATTTGATGTTGATGAATGAATATATATGTTGTAATTATTGTTGATTATGAGATGAGAAGTGGTGACATTATTGATCTGATTTAATATATTAATTATCATGCGCTTTATTATATTGTTAGATATCTTACCCCTTGTGTTTGAATGTTGCCCTTATGTTGGTAATGTGCTGGTAATCGAGAGTGAAGGTTATATACCTTCAATAGTTCGAGTCGGTGTTATTGCTCTGATATGTAACACTCGGGGGGATGAATGCTTGCTGATTTTTTATTGTTGATTTTCAGTTGTTGACTTTTAAGTTTAATTATTATTAATTACGAGATGTTTCGAAGTTGCTGTTTCATTTAGAGATGTTATTGAAGAATTCCGCTGCGTAGTTGTTGAATTATTTTATTAAGGATGCTATGTTGATGGTTCATCTGATGTTTTATTATAAGTCTTATATATCCATGATGAATGCAATGAATTTGTTAGAAGAATTTGTGACGTCCCGATTCGTTTGTATGAATGAAATTTTATAACTCTGATTTATCTCGCATAATTTGCTTGGGGTAGAATTGGGGTGTTACAAACGTGGCTTGCAATCTTGAGCGTTGGATAGGGCCTTGTGATGATCGGGTAGTGAGGAAATGAGGTACACCATGCGCTTGTGGAACTTGTTTGTATTTAATCTGAAATAAGAAAATATGAAACAAATAAAAGGGTACCGCTGGGGCTCGAACCCAGGTCCCTATAGTCACAGGCGCGCGCTTTAACCACTGGTGTGGTGATACATCCGTTAGTTTATGCACAAACCAATCAATATATTACAAACTCATTTATGAATATTTAAACAAGTCATCTTCTTCTTCCTCGCGCGCGCCAAGAACAACAACTCCATTTTTGATTCTGTAACTCTTTCATTTCTCAGCCATTTTAAAAAATGTAAACATGAAAGTTGCTTGATTTTTCACCATGAATCCAACCATATAACTTTCAAAAGCTAAAGATCAAAGACTAAAATGAATTTTGTTTAGTACCAAACTGAAACCTAATTTTTTCAAAAACTTCAACTTTAAAATTCTCATCATACAGTTAACGTAAATGAAAACTAAAGGCATGGTTAGTTTTAAAGCATTGATATCTACATTTTTTTTCTTTAGAAAGCAAGTGCAAATGATGCTTGAATAAGGATTTCAAAGTTAGAAAAACTTACCTTTTGACACAAAATCTAAATGCTCTCTACATGACTTCCAGAAGTGAAAGGATGATTTGGTGAACTTGCTTGGACCTCCCTAAATCTACTTCAATTGATAGAATGTCTTATAGCTTGCCCAACTGTTTTGACAAAGTCAAGCTGCAATGGTGAATTTTGAAAATGGTAGATGGTAATGGAGGGATTACAAAAGTGGTTCAAGTGTTTGTATCACTTCTATATGGTGTATGGATGATGTTTGAATGATTGAAATGGAAAACACACGAGTAGATTTGAAGTTGGGAGTTCAAGGTCAGAAACTTGCAACAAAATGGAGTTTTAAGGAATTTCTGACTTTGGGAGTGATTGAGGGGGGTTTAAGGGCTATTGAAATCGTGTCTTAGCTTCCATACTTCATCTATTTATAGAGAAAAGGTTTTAGAGGCTGAGAGGGATTGGTTTACAAAATCACATGTTATGGCTAGGTCGGATTATACTTGAAGCAAACTTGAAGAACATGGTTCCAATGTGAAATACAGGGCAATCTAAAGTGGTTAAGCACTTTAAACATGTTGCTTCTTGATTTTGTGTTGAGTGTGTTCAGAGGGAGCAAGTGAGAGGCTCAATGCATTGAGTTTGTGATTAAAGCTTACTTTACAAGAATGGAAATGTAACCTTTCTCCCAAAAATTGTAAAATAGTTTGGACAATGCTTAAATCAAATGGACCATAGCTCAAAAGTTTGTGTAAACATTTAATTATGGAGTGATTTGGAAGTTAAGAGGCCTGCAAAGCAAGATTATTCATCATGGCATGATGATTTGTTCCTGAGCTCTTCACAAATATGACCTATAATTCAAGAATGGATGCCCAACTTCATCTCTTTGAATCTCTTAGCTCAAGCATGATAAAAATGTGTTCTTGGACATTTTGGAAAGCTTGAGACATTGTCTACAATTTTCATGTTAACCACTTTGGCTAAATTAACTTGGAACTTGGTGAAAAATTGCCAAGAAGTTGGGACAACAATCTAACCAAACTTGTTGAAAATTTCTCTAAGTGTTAGATAAAAATGTCATGACTTCATGAGCCTATATCTCCTAATCCCAACATTTTTTGAAGATCATCCCTCAAGGACAAAGTTGTAGAATTCATCAATCCCTACAACTTTCATGTTAAAAGTTTTCTTTGAATCATCTTGCATCTTAGTGAAATGGTCATGAAGTAGTGAATTTATTAAGAATAAAGCAATAACACTTAGAAAATTTTCTAAGTATTAGAAAATTTCCTATCTTTGACTTTTATTGAATTTGTTGATTCTTGATGATCAAGCTTGATAATTTTAAATGTCTTGATGATTCTTGACCTTTGAAGTTCAAAGTTGACCAAAAAGTCAAAGTTTGACTTTTGTGTGATAGTTGACTTTTCATCAGTTGATCTCAATTCTTCAACTATCAATCTCCTGCACCTTTGGAAATGTCTTGAACCATGTAATTATGTCAAGATATTGTGTTTGTGTCCTTAATATCATGCTTCAAGTCATTAGGTCATGTACTAGGTCAAAAGTCAACGATCAGTCATTCTCAATCAAAACCCTAATTTTGATAATTTTGCCCCTTTGATGATTTGAGTGCTTTCCTTGAGGAATTATGATCAATCCTTTATAAAATGACGAATATCACATCAAAATGTTGATGTTGGCAAAAAATATTGAAGTTTGACTGTATGTTGACCATAATTGACTGATTACCTAATACAGCTGATTTTCAGTCATCTGAGTAATTGACTGAGCAAATTTGTGATGCAAGACTTGAAACTTGGTATGAGCATTCTTAGAGACTTATGATGAACCATGAAATTCACTTGAGGCATTAGAAGTCCAATTTTCCTTGAGAAATTCAAAACCCTAGTTGGGGGCCCAGTGCTTAGGAGGTGAGCTTGTATAATCAACTCTTGAGAATCCTTGAGCATTTGATAATTTTTGTGAGGAATGTCTTGAAGAAAAGGGAGGGGAAATTTTGAGGTACAACATGCATCAACATTAGCATCTTCATCACAATTATATGCAATATCAGATGAATCACTGTGAACATTATTCAAATCAACCCCAACAAATTTGTCGTTGTTGTCCATCTAAAATTGGCCAATATATATGACAACATAATTCAACATCAATCGTAAAACATATATCCCAACTTAAAATGAAATCATTGAAATGAAATCAAACATAAAACCTAATTCCCAAATTGAAAAAAAGACAATGACATCAACCATACATACTATTTTCCAAGTTGAAATGAAATCTTAACCTACATATTCAAAAACTTAATCCAATGACATGAATCATAAAACCTAATTTCCAAATTGAAATGAAATCTCAATCCAATTACAGATTACAACATTAACCATATAAGAAATTGAAATAAATAAATATTAAACCTTAATACCTTAGCAAATCGACTATCAATACGAATTGTGTCAGCAGAGTGATTGTATGGGAAAGAAGAATATGAATGTGTATAGTAAAGACGATGAAGTTGTTGTTGGTTAGAGAAACAAGACAAATTTATTTTTGTCTGCAGAAAGAATATGAACTTGTTGAAGAAACTGAAGTTTTCGTGAAAAAAAAATTCATTAACTTTGGTTGGAGAAAGAAGATGAACTGATTGAAGAAGCTGAAGTTATCATGGAAAAATGGCCTCATTAACTTTGATTTTTGAAAAACAACAATTCGAAGCTACAAAAATAATTTACATGTTAAGAGTATAATTTCAAATATGTAGAGACTAAATGATAATATTAAGAAATATGACCTTACACAATAAATTAGTCCTATATGGAATTCTAGAGTTTAAATGACATTTATAATTGAACAAAATTATGACTTTTCCAAAATAGTCAATAAGCCAACTTCACCCAAGAATTCTCATACTTTAAAGATTGGAACAAATTCCAATTTGAATAAAAATAATAATTAAAAGGAAATGTAGATGGTACCGAATAAAAATATGGTGTAAGTATCAAATTCAGGTGTTAGCATATCATTTCTCAAATAAGAAATGTACTATCAACATTTATGTATTAATCGATCAAAATCAAAAGTGTAGCCAAGTCAATTGTATAAAAGTGGAAGTAAGAAATGTTCAACCAACATTTAATGCCGTAACTGTAATATAAAAACACGTACACCTACCTCTAGTACTATATATGTCATGGCGCCAACTTAACCTTTTGCAGCAAATTTTATAAAAGAACGTACACACACCACAACATAATGGAAAAATTGTATGAAGAGGTTGAAGAACCAGTGAGTCCTCATGGACAATATTTCAACAGCTCTGTAATGTGTGCATATATTTTTGCCTTCTTGGAATTAGATATTCCTTTTGATGAGTCACAAGCTATACCTTTGATCAAAGATCTCTTCCTCCCTATCAATCCACGCTTCTCCTCTATTATGGTTCTATATCCATCTTCTGTATATAGTTTACTAATTACTACTATTACTTCACATTTAACATAACAAGTTTTAGTTATTTGTTAATTTAATTTGCAACAGGTTAGAGACAAAGATGGTAAGATGAGATGGCAAAAGGTTGAAGTGAAGATTCAAGAGAATGTAAAGATTCCTAAGTTTCCTGAAACCACAAACTCATCATCAACTGAGTTATATGACAATTATGTAACAAGTATTCTAACTTCAAAAACACCACAAGACAAACCACTTTGGGAAATTCATGTTATCAATTATCCAACAACAAATGCTGCTAGCACCATAATATTCAAACTTCATCATTCACTTGGTGATGGTTACTCCCTCATGGGTGCACTTCTTTCTTGTCTTCAAAGAGCTGATGATCCTTCTCTTCCTCTCTCTTTTCCTTCACGAATACCATTAGATCCAAAATATTCAAAGAAAAGTTTATTTAAGAAGCTATGCTTTGGTGTAAATGCATTTTTTAGCTCCATATCAGATTTTGGATCAAGCATAATCAAGACAAGAGTAATTCAAGATGACAAAACACCTATAAGGTCAGGATATCAAGGAAATGAACTTCAGCCTGTTGCCTTGTCAAACATATTACTATCTCTTGATCAAATGAGAGAAGTCAAATCAAAACTTGGGGTGGTAAGTTTTATTAGCTATTATTGATCAAATTTTATTGGATTTATCTTGATTAACTTTTGCATGGTGCAGACTATAAACGACGTGGTTTGTGGGATAATCTTCTACGGGATTAGGCTATACATGGAAGAGATGAATGAGAAGACAAAAAGAGCAAATTCAACAGCAATTGTAATGCTGAACACAAGAAATATTAAAGGCTATCAATCATTGAAGGAAATGCAAAAACCAGAATCCAAAGGTCTTTGGGGGAATAAAATATCTTTCTTACAAATACCAATACCTAAGCCAAACAAATCAGGAATTTGCAACCCACTTGAGTATGTTTGGGAAGCCCGTGAAGTAATAAAGAGGAAGAAAAGTTCTTTCAGTGTTCATCTCATAGCTTTACTCATGGATTTGGAGATGAAATTAAGAGGGCCTGAAGTACGTCACACTAATATTTAAGAACTTACCTAAAATTTGATACTGTATTTATTTTTCTTTGTTTCGGAGCCTGTTTGAGTTATTAATGTTCTCTATTTTACTGGGACCGTGTTTAGGTGGTTTCTAAGATAATCTATAACACAATTGGTAACTCAAGTGTTTTCATCTCAAACATGGTAGGGCCATTAGAGATGATGACTTTGGGAAATCATCCAGTAAATGGATTGTATTTCACCCAGACAGTTGGACCTGAGGTATATATACGCATATGTATATTTTGATTTTTTGTTTATTCTAATGTTCCAATAGTGTCTGTAAATGTTAATTATTACCCCTTCGTCTACCGACACAAAATGTTCAATTATTAAGCCTTAAAAAGAACTTCATTAATGAGCAATGAAAAGAAGATACGTAGGTCACAAACAACCACAAACACTTCTGTAATATATCATTAATTGGAGTTCTGACACGCTTTACCTATTGTTTGTGATTGTAGGATATAAACATTGCAATTATGAGCTATATGAAAACATTGAGGATCACTTTGAAAACTCTAAAGGGATTCATAGATGAACAAAAGTTGAAATTCTGCATGGATAAAGCAGTTGAACTGATATTCAAAGCAGCTAAGGAGATCTCTGAGAAACCAATCAAAAATTAATTGGGATATAGGCTGGAAGGATTCTGAAATTAAGATCAAATACTTATATAAGTGTATCCCTATGTTTTTTTTTTCCTAGTAGTGTACCAATGCTTATGTTTTCAAGTAGTTAATAACTGTAATGTTTTTTTTCTTGAAAATGGTTTCATGAGTGGATGGTTGAATTCTCCTTATGCTTAGTATTCTTTTCTCTATACCGGTTGGTTTTGCTACAAGGCTTGATTAACAAATGCAGTGGCTGGAATAAACTCCACTTTAGCTTTTGATTGTGTGCAACAATTTCTTATTTTTTAACACCAAAAGAATATTTCTAATCCATAACTCAAACAATAACTTACGTGTTTTTCATGTCTACTAAGAATTCTTCCCAATCACTATCTGAGTAATCTTGCAACTTGAAATTTTGTGATCATTAGAACTTGATACCCCAATTCAAGGTTACCCTGACATGCCTCAACACTCTTTTTTCTCCTTTGAAAAGAGATTATTTAGGACAACTCATGGATCTTGAAAGTACATGTATATCACACAACACATTTGTTCTTGTACTTGTTAGATACATTTGGCAATCAATTAAACTTCTCTAGAGTGTTTCATCAAATTGTTCTGCCTCGTCATTCTTATATTGGTTCCCTTTTGGACACATAAGAGTGATCATGATCTTACAGTTTTCCATGTCGAATTTCTATAACATCTCCTTTGCAAACTTCTTTAAACATACAAAGATGGCACCATTTTTTGCTCAACTTCCATACTAAGGAAATATGATATTTATCCCAAAAATGACATCTAAAAGACTTGCTTCATGTCATCCTTGAACTGCTGAATAAGCTCAACACTCTTGCGACCAAAAGATCATTTGCATATAAAGAGATCACCAAAAAATTAGCTTGATCACCTTTGACATATAAATAAATTCAAAAACAAAAACATTCAAATATTTTATATTTTTTCAAGAGGGACATATAGACATACCGTGCTTCTAAAGGAGTCTTCCTGTCTCGTGCTTTGGTGGGAATCTAGTATGCAATAATACATTGGTTTTTCAAGCCTTTGTCCAATATTCTTTAGGCAACCCTCTCTAATGAAGCATACATCTAGCCATTTCCATTATCTTCCTATTATTTCTTTCACTAATTACATTATGTTAAAAGGTATAAATAATCGTACGTTGATGCTCCATGTTTGGCTCCTCACAGAACCTGGTAAATTGTTTTGAAGTGTAATATATGCCATTACCATATCTCAAAACTTGAATCTCACAATCGCTTTTCTTTTCAATCCAATACTTAAATATCAAAAATATTCTTATAATCTATGACATGGACTTAAGAAAAATAAATCCATCACATTCTACTATAATCATCTATAAATATAATGTAATATTTGTTATTTTAAATAAAGTCATCCTTTGAGGCCCATCCAGATATGTGTGAATCAGTTACAACCTCTTTGTTTCTCTGAAAGCTGCTTATTTGAAGGGTAATATTGCTTGCTTACCATACTGACATACCTTGCAGCTTGACAAGTCAACATCTAAGTGATGTAAACCTTGAATCAACTCCTTTCATATCATATTCAGTATCGTTGCATGATGAAAATGGCCTAATCTATTGTGCTATATTTGTTTTGTGTTGACATCAACTACATAAGTATGAGTACTCACGGATGTTGTTCGGTGTGTCTAATACCCTAGGTGTGTTTATGGAATATATGAACAAAATCGTTCATCCTTACTTTGATAAGTTTGTTGTGTTCATCGACGATATTTTGATGTATTCCAAATTAGATGAAGAATATGTAAGACATCTAAGAGTTGTGTTATAGGTTTTGCAAGAGAAGAAGTTATATGACAAGTTGTTCAAGTATGAATTCTAGTTGCGAGAAGTGAGTTTCCTTGGTCATGTGATTTTCAGTGATGGTATAGCAGTTGATCCATCTAAGATAGACGCAGTGTTATAGTGGGAGACTCCCAAGTTAGTTACTGAGATAATAAGTTTTCTAAGTTTGGCTGGTTACTATAGAAGATTTATAGAAGGCTTTTCGAAGTTGGATTTAGCTTTGAATCAGCTGACTCGGAAAAGGTAACCTTATGTGTGGAGTGTTCAGTGTGAAGAAAGTTTCCAAGAGCTGACGAAGAGGTTGACGTCGGCACCAACTTTGATTTTACCAAATGGGAAGGAATGTTTTGTTGGGTAATGCAACACCTCTTAGATGGGCACTACGTCAAAATTGACTTTTGGCATCACCAAAAAGACAGCGCTTTAATGAGAAAATGCTGTTGTAGGTCTTTGAAAAAATTCGCTAAAAGAAGCGCTGCTACAGACAGCCAAAATGAACCACAATATTCGTGTGCAGTCCTAGCATGTCTTCGTACGACCAGGCAAAGATCTCGACATAATCATGCAACATTTGTATCAACCGCTGTTTAACACGAAGATCCAAATTTGCACCTATCTTGATCTCTTTTTTGTTCTCTTCTGTGCCCAAATTCACTGTCTCAACCGGCTCTTCATGAGGCTGTATAGCCTTTTCCTCATGTTGTAACAGTCTGGAAAGTTCTCCAGGTACCTCACAATCTTCCTCACCTTCGTCCTTGGCTTGGTTGATCAGATTTTCAAAGTCATAACCGACAATAGCAGAATTGTTATCAATGGGATCCAAAGTGGATATGGATCTGCAATTGATACGTGGGTGTGTGTAAGAGCATAGCTATATAGACAAAGTAAAAAATAGAAAATAAAAACAGAGAGCGCAAAATTTGTATGCATAAACGTCCAATGCTTTATTAATGCCATATGAAATTAAACATGATAACCCTCACAAATAAACCATTGTTCCCCGGGTAAGACACAAGGCCATAGAGTTTATACTGTTTAATTATTACATATCCAAAACAAAAAATACAATTACTTCTATAAAAAAGTAATTGGTACAAAGTCCTTTGTCGTCTAGTTACTGAGTCCACCATTGATAGTAGGGAAGATCCAGCTATCCATGTCGTCGTCATTATCACTGTCTTCTAGGGCTTTGACCCCATGATTATTGATGTGTAAGGGAGGTCTCCCAGCACGAGCACGAAGAACCGCCCTTTGAGCCCCTGAAGAGAAACTCAAACAGAACTTATCAGATTAGTATGGAATGTCAGGGAGCTGGCCCCATATGGTAGACTCACCTTCTTCAATAACGTCTTTTGCATCCTTGAGAGAAGTCATCTTCAAGACAGGTCCGGTGATCCTTGGAAGATTGGTGACAGATTCAATTGCAGCCATAGCCTGAGGTGCCACTTCAAAATTCTGACACGGAGTCTCGATGAACTCGCCATCCATTTCTACGTACCTGAAGGAGTTCAGATGACTGACCATTTATTCCTCTTCACTGTGCACCGTGACAATCTTTCCTTTTACCGGGTATTTCATCATCTGATGTAGAGTGGATGTAACGGCTCCTGCCCCATAAATCCAAGGGCGACCCAATAAACAGGAATAGGATGGTCTAATATCCATTACGTAGAAGGTAGAGTCAAAAGCCTGAGAACCAATTTTGATGGGGATGTCCACCTCCCCGTGCACCATTCTCTTCGAACCAACGAAGGCCCTTACCACTATGTTGCTGGACTTTAAGGTCAAACCTTCACAGTCTAGTTTATCCAGAGCCTTCTTAGGTAGCACATTCAATGATGAACCAGTATCTACTAGGACGTGGGCCAAAGTAGTGCCCCTGCACTCGACGGAAACATGCGGCGCATCATTGTGTTTTCTCCCTCTGGGTGTCAGATCAGCATCAGAAAAATTCAAGCCATTGTCAGCCGTCAAACTAGTCACACAATCTTCAAATTGGTCAACAGAGGTTTCCTGTGGCACATGGGTCGTCTTAAGAAATTTCACTAGAGCCTTCGCATGAGCTTCGGAGCACAACAATAAGGCTAGTATAGAAATATTTGAAGGGGTATGCCCTAGCTGTTCGACCACGTTGTAGTCGCTTTTCTTGATAATATTCAAAATTTCTTCCATCTCCTTCTTGGAAGCCTCTGGGATAGATACTAAATGTGCCTTCGTCTAGACAGGCTCAATCAGTATGTCCTTGCCCCGAGTCTCGGTTGACTCGGTGATAGGTGTGTCAGCAGGGGTAATCACAGGAATTGTAGTAGTAGTATCAGCAAGAACAAAAGTAGGAATGATCACAGGACCAGTAACAGCTTTCGGAGGAGAAATCTCAGGGGAGAACACTCTTCCACTTCTAGTTATTTTGATGGTTCCCGCAATGTTGCCAATGTAGGGGTCAGCCTTCTCGGAAACCTGGTCTTTATCAGTCAGCCAATCTTACTTGACACTGTGGTAGTAGACGTCACCCCCATAGTTCCAGGGAACAGTTTTGTCTGAGGAGTATGGGATTGGCCCTGGCATAGTAATTATCAGTGGAGTCACCTTTGGAACAGATGTAATCCTGATGGGTCTTTTGGTGGAGACCCTGGAAGGATTGGCGGAAATGGTTATTATTGAAATATCCTTGCACGGAAAGGGTGGAACGGGAGTCTTCTCAAACAAAATCTCTCTATCATCCATCAGGAGCTGAACACATGTCTTCAACAAATGACAACCAGTCGGTAGAGATAAACCGAAGTGACAACCTTTACCACATCCCGGAAATAAACCGGCCTTCAACAGGTTCCTCTTGACGGTTAGGATAGGAATAACAAGTTCATCAACAGTAGTAACAAACACATTATCTTCAATAGCGTTAACACCACGGTCGTGCTTGGGCATAGGAGCAGTGATAACATTCGGAATCTCAAAGGCGTCAAATTAAATTTCCTTCACCTCGAGAAGGTCTTGCACTTTGTTTTTCAAAGCCCAACAGTCGTTTGTATCATGACCTGGACTTTCTGAATGATAAGCACAACGAGCATTTGGGTTGTAACGGGGAGAGGTAGTGTTAGGATTCTTTGGAGCTTCCCATAAGGTTACCAGATTAGATTTCAACAAATGTGGCAAGACTTG